TATATATATATATATATATATATATATATATATATATATATATATATATATATATATATATATATATATATATATATATATATATATATATATATATATCATACGTCAGCCTACAACTTCTCCTCAGTCTCTCCCTACTGCAGTCATCATCGAACATCGATATAGGGGTTGGTTTTGTATTCAATGCTCATGTTGCAACAACCTTAGTTGACAAACATCCACTGCCGTATTACCCATTCTACCATTTTACTTAATGCCCTGCGTCTTACCTCATGGTTGCTCACTCAGTCGTCTTAAGTATTAAACTAAATGTTACGGCCTATATATATTACAAATCACAGACCACTACCATAACTAAAGACGGAGAGAACTGCTGAGTAATATGCTTGTTCTTCGGTGAGAATATGGAAATCGCGCATACAATAAACGTAACATTAGCTAATGACCGCTAACTAACCGAGCCGTGTCATACGTGCTAACATTTCGTCAACTATCGGGGTAGATGTATGTTCCAAGATTAGTGTAGTGGTCAATAACGCCTACCTAATTTCAAGTAATCCGTCACGAATTATCTCATATATTTCGTTTTCACCGCAACAAATTATCCGTTGCAGTCAGTGATGCTACCAGATCGTACAATTTAACACTCACAATAGTTCACATTAAATAATTGAACTTTAATTAATTATTATTCGCAATTTATTTTCAATGTGCTTCTAATTAAACGCTGTAACAGAATGTTTGCAGTAGAGAACGGTGACTGTTGGATTCTAACTTACCGATTTAAAGTAATGGACGTCATCAATTTGAAAGTATACTTCTCAATAGTGAGAATTCAGCAAAATCGACATTCACAAAGAACTGATTATTGATTGCAGTCGTCACAAAATCACGTATACATCATATATATATATATATATATATATATATATATATATATATATATATATATATATATATATATATATATATATATATATATATATATATATATATATATATATATATATATAGATCATGATGTACATACTGCGATGTACAAACTGCGAATATCCTTCGCTAGTAGAAACGTCTTTTCTGTATCCATAAGAGATAAGCTTCCGTGCCCGGTCGCCTCCATGTGCATCTACCAGTTCACCTTCTCTTGTGAAGCAAGGTACATTGGCCGTAGCCAGCGCTCGCTTTCAACTCGGATACGAGAACATATCCCAGCTTGGTTCTATTAGGGTGAAAGGAAAGCAGTTAGGAGTTCTATACTTGAACACCTAATCGACTATGACCATTCAACAGATCCACAAATTGACTTTAAGTTTGTTTATATGATTCGTTCAAATCTACCCGGATTTCTTCGTATCCAACTTTTAAAAATAGCCGAAGCTCCTACCATCCAGGAGCTTAAACCAGAACTATGCGTACAAAAGAAGTACGTCTTATAGTTATCGTTACCTTGGCCTTAAGTATTATTATTATTATTTTTATTACTGCATTCTCCCCTTTACTTATATCTTATATTTTCATTGTTTTATTAGTGCATACTCATCATATCACCATATTTATTTATTTTTACACCTCTATGACCTTTAATTATTATTATAACAAAAACATTTTGATCATTTTATTCATCTTATTATATTCACCAAATCTATTGTTATTATTATTATTCATATTACGTAATCTAGTATCATAAACTTTTTATTAACTGTGTTCACATTTCCCCACGTAATTAGTACTTTAACAAATTTGCATATATATACGATTGTACAGCTTGATAATAAATTCGTTGAAAAGAGATCACTTCGCTGAGATTCGTGTTTTAATTTTAATATTTAAATGGGACTTATCTGTCACACTATTTTTATTGAGATTTCCTTCTTTTCCGTGACGACGGCATTGTTTTACTCATCGTCAATTACTTCGTCGCATCAACCATCCAATCACAACTGTCATGATACTGCATTGAAGCTGATTGTAAAAGCCAGTGAGTGTCTAAACTCATTAGCTTTGAGGGTGACACGATAATGTCTGAAGTAAACAATACTAAGTTGGACTATTGTAGTGAACATCATTCTGTGATTCGGAAACATTAATGGTAATAGAAGGCAATGCTCACAGGATGCATATATGCTAGTAAGAGAGGCTGATCAATTTTATTCCAAAACGTCAATGAAAAGATTCAAGCAATCAACGCAAATGAATCTGTGCAGAATCCTGTCTCATAGTTCCATGAAAATGAGACCGAATATGACCCAGCATTGTACGATAAAGTGATCAATCATTAGCAAGCGCAGCTATCAAGTCTATGATTAAGGCAAAGGAGTCTTCCTTAGAAGTTAATTAAATTGAGGATGATACAGGTATTCACACATCAGTTCTTCCTAAGGACTAGTTTTCAAACCTGTCTTTTTTAGTAATGTTATGGCAAGATTGTCACAGTTCATTCAATCTACATCTTTCCTCATTCCGAGTTGAGTATTAACTGAACTCTATAGAATTTTTTCATAATCAACATTCATAACACCTCAATAACTACAGTTTGTCAGTCAGCGTTCATTAAACACTAACTAGTCAAATAACGAATGATTGAAGTGGTATTCGGACATTGAAGTTCAAAACAATGGACGTCGTCAATTTGAGAGTATACTTCTCAATAGTGAGACTTCAGCAAAATGGACATTCACAAAGGACTGATTATTGATTGCAGTTATCACAAAATCACGTATACATCATACTGTTAATTCACAAATGCAACGTAGTTAACTCCTGTAAATCTATTCAGATTTTATTGAAAGAGAACACTCACGTAAATACGAAAAACCGTATTTTTTATTTTACCAGCAAAATACATCGTTTAATTCGCAAACAGTAATGAAAGGGTTACTTCGTTCCATGAAACAATTTCCAATTAATTAAAATGTAAAAAATATAAAGCGCTTGTAATAAGCAAAAACATGAAAGTAACAAAATCAGGATAATGAAAACAGGGGACAAGCTGTTTGTGGGAACTATGGATAAAATCTCTCTCCTTCCTATAGTTGCATTCTGAAAGAAAAGCAGTATAGTCATTAGTAATTATCAAATATTTTCCAAATTTCATTCAGTTTTTCAAGTAGTTTTCTAAATTTCATGTCTTAAGTCAGCTTCAGATATTTCTGGATTTGTAGTTTCGTATTTGATACGAGTTCGTTTGCTCGAAATGTGGACATTCTTGTTCATTTGAAGCCTGAACCAGTGGCAATATTACCACATATTCAAAATTGTTCAAGTAACTCATCATTCATTGTACAATATTGTGGAAATTGATTATGGAAATGAATGCGATCGAGGAATAATTATTTAGAGTATCTGCTACCGCTTAGACAGTCAATGTGTTGAGTACTTATTAACCTACAACTAGCTGACAACTTATATTTGTGTGATAAAATTTGTTTTCTTCATGTCACAACTTAATACAATCTAAGTACTAATCGATCAAATTATAACTGACGTCTTTATTGAAGCAATCGATCCAGGATAAGTTTTTCTCAACAGGGAATCAAAATACCTATTTCCAAACTTCAACAATGGGAGTCTACGGATCTACGAATCAGTCACTATCCAATCATGCTACCCAATTTTAGGCAGATTACGCTTCATCATGCACACTGATCTCGTCTCTGCTTTTCAACAGTTCACGTGGATATGCGGTTTCGTATTGAACATCGCTAATCGCTACACATTCTGTGAGCCGAAAATAAGCATGTCTCTGAGCATAGATGCTAAACAACGCCTTTATGGTGTGTTGGATATCCATATGGAAGCACAGCATTGTACTCACATTTCACTAAACATCTTCAACGTATACAAAACTTTGATTTATGCACTGAGAGAAGAATACAAATCAATAATTATTCGCAGCAATAAGATGTTCTTCCGAGTAAATAGGTTTACAATGTAGAATATGGTGATATTCAAAACAATGTGTGAGATCTACCAATTACTTACTTCACCCTTGCAACCATTTACTTTGAATTCACGAATACTCTCATCATTGTTGGTAATGCACATATTGGCTGTTTCACACCAAATACACGTTGTGTTCAAAGTTGTCGGGTCTTGACATGCTTCACTCGAATTGTATTTCGAACAGTCTTCAGTGGAACGAATGAGGTGATTGCATAACAAGTTATCAAACAAAAGATAGGTGAATTACAAAACATATAACTGTAACTCGATGATATAATGGTCATTTCGGATTAAAGTAATTATTTCAATAACTGTGAATTTTTCATCACATTCCTCATCACAAACTTTCAATGATATTCACATTTCACGACAACATTTTGGCCTTGAATGAAAATACATCTATTACCAATAACATTTTATTCAAAGATTATTGAACTCGATGTGAACATTGGATTATAAAATGATTCTTTCAGTTGTCGTGATGTTAGTTCAATACTCTGACACATGATGAACTGTACAGTAGGCGCGATTACTCACCATACATATCAATAGGAACGAAAACACTTTCATACTGTTTCATTCACATTTCAGTCCAACAACTCGGTACTGAATGAAACTACGGTGAATATTGAACAATTAGTTTGGACGTGGGGATTCGATAGAATTTTATGAATGTTTGCATTCAGAAATGTACACATCATGTTGTCACCCGGTTAGGCAAAGCTCACTGCATTTGGTTCCTAATGCATTTTGATTTTGATTTATTAGTACCAGTTTGATGATGGAAATATATCTTCCCTATTGCTTCAACATATGAAAACTTGCAAATAACATCGTGAACACATTCACACTGACTACTTGGAAATCCGTGCAAGAAAGTCAATTGTACTCAGACAAGAAATTCCTTCACAATTATATTAGTTCAATCAAGAAACAAATGACGAGTGACATTGTTTTTTACTTCATCGCTGAAGTTTTTCTGGAAGAGATTTCGATTGAACTACTGCAATAGAATGTTTCAAACTATGTGATCACATTATACTTTGTATGCTGATGGCTAGCGCGTCACACTAGTTGAATCATGAACATTCATCGATATTTATTCAACGAATATTGTAGTCAATCCAAACATTAGATTATGAAATGAATTTCTCAGTCGCAGTGATGTTATTTCAATACTCCAACACATGACGAACATAATGGTATTTGCGAATACTCATCATGCATATCAATGAGAAATGAAAACAGATACCTAACATGAAAATCTTCAGTATTTTTGATACTGTACAAGTATGTACTGTAACATCATGTACGCTTTAGTGAATTTTATCCACGTGAGGACGTGAAGGACATCCGTCCTTCATCATTTTAAATAACCAACAGAGAATCCACGTATAAAATAACGTCATTTGATACTGGTAGCCAAATTTCACTTAATTATTTACCGAAATCGCACATAAAGTTTTCAATTTCTTGAAACAAACTTGAGCATTGAACTTTGGAAATAGTCATTTGTGATACAATAAGGTTTAACATACCCCCGAGAGCTTCAAACTCCACTAACGTTCCACTTCGGATCCATTTTCTGTGAACACGAATTTCAGGATTTTTCTCATCTTCTGAAATTCATTTTACAGAGGAAAACAACTCAGATTTTGGTTAACGAGCGGCTATTAAAAAATGGAACCGATGTTTCTGAATATCCATGATGAAGATATTCACACAACATAGTTATATTACTCAGTATACCAGGTTAGGCTTGCGTCAGCAGACGTGGATCGTGAAATTCATTGTTTACGGAATTCAGCATATGATACAGAATCGCTTTTGTGACACCAACATGGATGACGGTTGTTCGAATGAAGACACAGATACTTGATTACGGTTCAGAAGAATTCAGTAGTTCACTGTAAAAAACACTTGATCAAAGAACGTGGTGTTTTCAGCACTAGTTTGCACCTTCATTTATTATCATATACGATACTAAAACTTAGCTTCAAGATGTGTAAGCACATCATCCACGTTGAATTTTCAAAAAAAAGTAATGTTTGGACAATGAGTTTACCAGAAGCATTCAGATTTTACTTCACACGTTTTTCATTAACACTTTAATGACATTTCAACCAATCTGTTTTCACAGGAAACTACTGAATTATGTGGACCGTAAGAAAGGTGTATTAGATCACTAAGATAGATTAAGGCAAATTTCTGTGTTGACACAAAGATTATTGAGTATAAATAGAAAGGAAGTCAAGGCTAACAGATGACTGTTCATGTAGGCCAGTGTAAATTAAAATATAAATAACTTTACTTACCTCCTGCTTTTCCACACTGAATTTCACTGCTAAAGCCCGATCCTACGTCTTTTATTCTAATTGCTTTAGTAACCTGAAAAGTAGTAATAGAAGTATGAGTCAAGATCTGCTTACTTCCATTCATTACTATTCATTTCCCGGGGGGATCGTTTCCATCATATATCTTGAGTACTTCGAAACAATCAAAACGGATTCAGTCCAACACGCATGAAATCTTTCATCTCACTAACATTTTCCAGTCATCGAAGATCTATTGTATTCCAAATGTATAGATTACTAAATACTGACACTCGAACAACTACGCACTGAGGATCGATCATGATGTTTTAGCAACAAATCTCTTAAAATAGTTAACACCGAAATTGTCGAACAGTTGAAATTCAGAAAACTAAGTAATGCTTGACAGAATATGACTGTGGCGGAAAGCACTCGAACACACACTGGTTCCGCTTTATGGGTGCGAACACATCAGAATTTTTTTTATAACATTTCACTTCCTATAATTCTTTTTTTTAGGAAATTGCCATAATAGTATTGTCAAATAGTCTGTGTGCACATTGCAGAAGTTTGATGTCCCTCTATCGTGTTCAACATATTTTGATGCAATTGACACTACTGACATGCGCAAAATAGAAGAATATTCTGAAGTAGTTAAAGCAAAACTATCGTGCAACTTACGTTTTCATAATAGAAAGATATCTTCCCATTTGAATTTATCATAGTGGTTACCTTGAATGTAAGATCTGTAAACAGAAGACCATCGAAATTTACAATTTGAAGGATGAGTGGTGATCATGTCATTGTTAGATTTGATACTAAATGTCACTACTCAAAAAGTAATCAAATTTAAGCAGATTGAATTCGTGATAAATACAGTCTACTTAACGTCCTGTAAATGAAGCAAGCATGCATCCTTTAATATGAATGTCAGATGACTAGTTTCCGAGGCTGTATTAAAGCTTCGTCTTTATATCGAAATAATAAATCATCAAGCTTCCAATTAAGTCGTATAGTTAGAGAGATATTGAAATTTGCTAAACATTCTCTATAATTGCAAATTAAAATATTCATCCTTTGTACACATAACATGAGCTGTGGAGTGTTTGTCTGCAAATAGAACATGGTAATTTAGTTGGTGATGCAACGCATTGGTTTCTTAGTGTTCGATAACGATGGAAAATAAATAGCTTCAGGTTATTCGTCTTGGTGATTTCGGAATTTGAATGAATAATTTTTATGAATGACTGTGTGATGAGTGATACAAATTTACTTATTTCGGAATACAGACGTCTAATCAAGCAGCATTGAAACCTGTTGACGAAGATGTATCTCTGCATTCGTTTATTTACAAGTGGAATCATATTACGATCTAATTTATCCATCCTGATTAATCTAATACACATCAAAACTTATACGTTCCTGCTAATGTCAACTGCTTTTTCATTCCCAATCAAACTGTTCAAACAATCAATGGATTCCAGATATACCTCTACCATACGTTTCCTGAATCGTTCCACTTTATTACTTCTGCCAGTTTTTGGACAGGACTCAAATACGCAATGTTAACAGAGAACGTGTGAGCAACTACAATGAATGTTAGTGAAAGTGTTAATATTTTACATCTGATCAAATAGTCATTTTATAAATACATACCCCCACTAGAACCTTGCTTATGATAAGACTGTCTGATGGCTAATAATTCCTCTGAAATAATGAAAGTAAAAACAAAACGTGGTTTTGTATATCTGCATAATGAATATCCGCCTCTTTCGATTAACGCAAATAATAATACAGAATGAGCTAAGACAAGTTTTGTCATCTTCCTTTCGAGAATTAAGTGATGCGGTTCAATCAAATGAGAGTTTCAATTATCCTAACTATTATCCCAATGATATGATGAGGGTTTCGAACCAATTAACTGAGAAGAATGTTTTACTTCTGAAACGCTGGTTTAAAAAGCTTCTGGCTAACCAAGTGACCGATAATATCTATACGACAGTGCACATACTAAATGATTTTCTGAGATTCTATTATCACAATGTAACAGTGTTCTACAACTGAACTAACCATTACGCAGTAATGCTACACCAATATGATTAATTCCCATAACTGAACATCGAAATGAATGAACTTCATTTTGATGTTCAGAGTGTTCTAGTTAGAATTATTCATATTGTACGAGCAGACTGTTCACGGTCGTTCGTTGAATGAATGCTTGTGAAAGATAATAAGTTCAAATTTCACGATCATGCGCATGTGATAACTAGAGTAAACTGTTGAACACTAGACGTAGCTCAGACAGTGACTCAGAAACATTGTCAGTTTGATGAGATATTTGCTACATGGTAGTTTAAAGAGACCATAAGCTGTTATTTTCACTTTAGCAATTTCATAAACCGAAGTATTATTTCTACTGAATAAATTTGTGTTTATTTTGAAGTGAACCTCTGTTTTATTTAACGATTTCACTTGTCAGTAATGGATACATGTTGTGAACACATTTTAGATCATCAAATCACACAAACAAAATAATCCGCGTGTACTTCTCCGCTCTTATAAAATAATCAGGTTAAATATCGTGTCATGTGTGCAAAATAAAAGTGATCATTAAAAGAAGAAAATAGAATATCATGGACAGACTCACTTCCATTTGAAATCTGAAAGTTTTTCTGAGTGTCGCCTATCAATATATTGAAAATGTTGCCGTCGAATCTTCCTTTTTTGATTGTTATCAAACCTGTGTTTTTCAAACGAAAACATGAGACCTGATTAATAATCTGTGGTGAATTATTGACAGTCTTTGAAAATAACTGGAAACAAAAATGAATCACTTCAATTGTAATTAGTCTACTATAAGGCGTCAAACTGTTTACATTTTGAACAAAATAAGATATCAGTAGAACTTCCGGATATAAACAAAGCATAAAATTGATTTACTAAAGAAATTAAAGCAGCCTTGATTCATGTGTATATAAAATTCAATAACAGGATCCTTTCAACGAAATCGTAAACTTCAGCTGTACATTCGTATATATAGTTATATGGAAAATATATAGGATAAAAACGATTGAATCGTGTAATGGCTTCAAGACTAAATAACAAACAAGGTTACATATTATTCAACGGGTAAGGAAGGAAGTAATTTATGTGTCAGACAATAGTCCAATTGACAGATATTTTCTGAGAAAATGATGGTCTTACCTTGTCTGTTTATGGAGAGTGATGTAATGTCATTACCGTAAAATTTAATCACGAACTCTGGAACAACATTCTGAAGATTTGCAAACATATGGATTAGTATCTCGATTGCGAGATGTAGTTAACTCACCCGAGAAATATCTAACTTCTCGAAATTGTCACTTATAACTGGAGGAGGCTGATTAAAGCGTATTACTCGGGAGTAGTAATAATGATGAGACTGAATGTGTGAATTGAAACCTGACTGAATACTTACATATTCATGAGAATTATTCTCAAAAATCACCTTTTTATAATCCTCAAATTCAAATTTTGTGCAAATTTCATGACAGTCGATAAATTTCAAAACCAAGAAGATGACCGAGCAGACAAGTATGAATTGACCAGATGAAAGAGTATATCTAAAATGATTCAGATAAACAATCATGCCTTATCTCATTGAAACAAATTATAATGTATGTAATACAAACATTTGTCTTAACTGTACAGTCAACACTCACCTCATTTTCTCCTTCAAAACGTTAATAATTGTTGATAAATCTGTTGAGTTTATATAGATTTTTTAAGTGTTCATTTGTTTCTATCTGATTCGATGATCTAAATTGACCATTAGAACTATCAAGTGTAGTAAGATCATGTGATCATTGTTAACCAATCATCAAGGTAGGTCAACTCATCGTTGTGCAATATTCTTCTAGTTATTGAGGTATATAGGCTAAAATTCTAAAGCCAGTATTGATGAAAAAACTATTTTGAATATGACTAGCTACACTTCAGTCTAAGTGATTGGCTTATTAGTAGTTCAAAATATTTGCTCATATTTTCATGAACAAATATTTTGTTGCTTGTATCAATCTGTGAATTGATTGCCAATGGTGCATTCTTTTGATTTGGTTGGTTAAAATCAAATTAGCAAAATCAGTTTTCATCGGATGTCTAAATTTACAATTTAACGTCTGAATGCTATTTCAACCTAACAAATTTTGTCAGACGATTTCAACATTGTTGAATGTGGAATTGCACCGTCTGAACAAAGCCAGATCACTTCAATTTGACCGTCATGTTGTACCATTGGCTGGTAATAGACGTTATGATGAAGGTAGATAAAGTTTGTAATGCGGACCACGCAGAAGTGGGACTGAATTTGTTTAATAATTAAGATCTAAGTGATCAACGATTGTAATGAAAGAAACACAATGCATTTCATTTAAAGTGGAGTTTTAAAAATGGAAAGGCTTTCTTTATCTACACACAAATTTGTAATTCCATTAGTGATCACTGAACCTGAAAGCTAATAAATATATTAATACACAGTAGGAAAACTTATATCTATTTTGGTATTTCAATGAAATATTCCCACATATCTATTGGTTTGTTTTAATTGTCATCTGTATCCAAACGTACAAGTAAATCTATGTGATAAGACAATGTCTATGGTGTTTTGACTCCACGCAAAACGTAATCAGCCGATTAATGACGTATAAATAATAGTTCACACTATTGTAATTGAAAACAATTTCAGCGACATAAGCGCAGACTATTTTTGCTTTTGTTATATCTGCAAAATGTAAATCTTGATAATGTGAAGGTATATCGTGCGCTTCAAAACGATGTCGATAATGGTTAAAATATTTTTTCCTCGTTTACAACAGTCTGTAGTCGAATAAACGGTTTTCTGGTCAGCACTTTTAAAAACGGTTGGTCTTCAAGGTTGAAGCTGGTGACTGCTCGCGCTCAACCTTTCTAATTAATCAGGACTTTGGACCGGCAATAACCAAAGCAAGGCTATAGGTAGAATCGTCGCAATATCTTGAAAAACTGAAATCAATTCATAAGCGAAATATTAGTATGTAGATTTGCTGACGATAAAAGGGACAATTTCACACACTACATGACTTTTCCAATTACGTGTACTGATTATCACTTGTGATTTGAGTTCAAACCCATTTTTTACCACGGCAGCTGTTTACAATAATCGTCTACGACAATTTCAAGCTTATTCCGTCCACGAGTTCAAGATTTGAAGGGTTTTTGAGATCAGGACAGTATTTTTGAAATTGAATATCCAATGGCTACAGAAAAAATTAGTACAGACACTTAATTCATTTTCAAATCAGAAGAGAACCGAATTTTTCTGTCCAGTAAGTTGATAGCAATTGTCTTTCAAACACGCTATATATCATCTGAGTAGAATTTAATGTTTTTGAGAAAAGCGAAAGTGGTTCCAATGTTTCATCTACTAACTGTTGCAAAATATACCTTACTTCCACATTTGGTGCGCCAGTTCTGTTGATTGATGGCGTTCCGCTATTTCAATAAACAAACAATATCGTTTTGTCTAGCAACTGTTTAGCGTTCTTCAATCCCCTTTCAACAAAAACTGACAGGTGAGATATACGTAAATGTTCCCGCAAAGTGTAGTGATACGTATCACCATAGTTATCCACTCGCATCATCACACTCTTGTTACGATTTACTTATAGTGACCAAATGTACATCCATGCCACCAATGAGCTAAGATCATCCTGTATTACCATTCTATCTCTAAGTTTTTATGTCATCGGTGAAGAGTAGAGCGGATGATTTGGCTACAGTTGACAATTCATTGACATAGTGTGAAAAAAGAAGAGGATTTTACCTTCAGGAACTCCACTTTTTACATGTTCCTACGAGAGAGCTCCACTTATCCTTGCCCTTTGTCTTCTGTCATGGAGAAAATTACTTATCCAATCTACGACTGTATAATCGATTCCGAAACATTCCAGTCTGAATTTAAGACTAGAATGAGAGGCCCTATCGAAGTCTTCACTTAGATTTTTGAAAATCACATTTTCATGAATATTCTAATATTTTGCAGCAGCCCATTTTTCTTTGCAATGAAAAGATTCATCAAGCATGATAGGCCTCTCCAAAAACCATGTTGTTTCTTGGATAAAAGATTATGCCCTTCAACATAGTTTATAACAGATAATCGAACGAAGTTTTCCATCAGTTTTACAACTGCACTGGTTAAGCTAAGGGTCCTGTAGTTACTAACTAGATCTCCATTCCCAGCCATATACACCAGACTTATTATCGCGTCTCTCCAGTCTCAAATAATGGTTAGTTTAATGATGATCGAAATCATTGATGTAAAAATCAAAGACCACTAAAGCAGGTCAGTGAATATGGTTGCACACACATAAAAATCGTATTTTTAAACGGCACAATGCACTTTTTTCGGATGATTTTCTGTCATTCGACTCATGATGCACACGCATATATAGGGTGTGCATTTAGTAATAGTAATCGAAATATTGTGAATTCTATCATATTCATCAGATTGAATATAAAATTAAATGAAAGTCATCATCCAGAAGATACAGGTGTTTATTAACAGTTGTTTACGCAAAATACTTAGGATCCGTTGGCCAGTCACTATCAACAACAACCAACTGTGGGAGAGAACAAATCAGATCCCAGCGGATGAAGAAATCAAAAAGATGCGCTGGAAGTGGTTAGGACACACATTGAGGAAAGCACACAACTGCGTCACAAGTCTAGCCCTCACATGGAATCATCAAGGCCAAAGAAGGAGAGGAAGACCAAAAAATACATTACGCAGAGAAATGGAGACAGACATGAAAAGAATGAACAAGGATTGGATAAAACTAGAAAGAAAGCACAGGACTGAGTGGGTTGGAGACTGCTGGTCTGTGGCCTATGCTCCATTAGGAGTAACAGGCGAAATTAAGTAAGTAAGTAAATCTAGTCGCTGCAATATGGAACATTTCAATAACAATACCGAACAATATGTTAAACTGACAATATTCTGTCCTAACCAGGCTCGAATCAGAACATGTTGCTTGTGGAGGAGACGAAAAAATACTAGAAGATCCTTATGTGAACAGTAATGCCATCACTATGGTATATTGTATTATTCGAATTTATTGGAATATACATTGCTTACTTTTAATTAATGATCTAATTCAGAATGTGGTTGAAATATAGTGTTCGAAAGACATCTGGCGAAATCATTTGAACTAGCGATGCTTGTTGCAGTAACACGAGAAGTCCAACAAGAAGTTCATTGAGTAGAAACTTTTGTCTCACAATGATTCTGGGTGTAATTTAAGGATGGACTGCTATATGACTGTATACTGCTTTTCGAAATCGTGAATAACCATCAATGATCATTGTAACCACCCAGTATAATAGGATCAGAATTACAAAGCTTATTGTTACTTGCAGAGAAAAGGATGGTAGTCTTACAAACTTCTTGTACGTGTCCAATTTTACCACATTTAAAACATCTAGCATGACGAAATACAGGCGAATCACACGGCTGACATTTGGACTCATTCGCATTTGGCTTTATTACTAATCGATGTAAAGTAATGAGCAACAATATTAATGTCCTCAACATCTTTCGTCCTAGTTCACATATCGAACCTATCCATATAATCCTCAAAAGCATCAACATTTGAATGTATGTTCAACTGTTAAATAACACACTTCGACGTGACACTGATGTATTGATTATAAGAATTTGACTTGTTATACGAACTGGAAATCAACGAAACTACGCAATTTTGACCAAACACAAATAGGTGAACACAGACAAACCTATTGTATTTGGAGTCTGAAATCAGGCAGTCATTAAATACAAAGGAGTCTTTAGCTCATACTAACAACACAAACCTTCAAATTGTATGCATTTACAAATATGATTTGTAGAATTGTAGATTCTGTCTGAATCACTGGATTGAAACTAACATTAAACCAAGATCTATCACTTCTGTTACTTCCTATAGCATTTACAAGGTAAAGATTATTATGCTCTAATCTCAGTGCAAATTATTTGACCATTTTTTTATTAAAATCATACTTCTGTTGACCTCAGTTGTTTACAGAAATATCAATGATTATACTTTGTTGTCGTTTATCACCGATATCCATCTCATTGATCAAATAATATGGTATTCTATATTCTCTATTATGGTATAATGAACGTAATATGGATGTTAATTAGAATAAAAAAACATCGCTTACTAATTAAAATTTGTTTATTTCACTGACGATCGGCCACACGTACAGAAGAAAGATGAGTAAAATTCGCATTTCACAAATGATCACCACTTTTCTGATAAGAAAATTAAGTGAAAACTAACATTTTGCCTGTCAATTTACAGAAGGTATTGTTTCAGCTATGAATAAACACTGTACCCATTCGAAATCGAATTTCAATTTAGTTTTGTGGTCTTTTTCTCAAACATTCATCTAGTTTCCACTTTCGTGCTACTATGCTAAGTTTGTTCTTCTCGGTCTATTCAAACTCAACTATTCACTGAAATATCAATCAATTGATTTATTTGCAGATCAGTCTGTTTGCGACTTGAAATAAAGTCAGCTCATTCAATTGCACACATTAGTCTGTAATAAGATTGAGAAATGTTAGATGATTCAACAAAGTCACGAAAAATAAGATTATACTGATTGATCAATGTCAAAGATAGAATTCAATCTTCAGCA